ATTACCCTCATAAGGCCTTCGTTTATCCCCCTGGAGCCGGATGGATTACTTCTGTGACGGATATATGCACATTTTGGGACTTAAAGGAGGTGGACCCCATTGCTTCACATTATATCCACTGAAGGGTCTAAGACATTTTCTAAAATAACTGAAAATGTGTTCGTCTGAAACAAGATTGACATATGCATCTCGAACGGCTTGAGGGTGAGTAATGCATGGTTTAAATATCATTTTTGGCCGAACTATCCCTTTAAGCTGTGCTTGGTGTGAAAGGCCTCAAAGCTAAAGCTAAAAGCTAAAAGCATGTAGCCTATGTAGTAAAAAATCACAAACTGTAATTTAACATGCAGTTAGTAAATCATTGATTATATGTGATTATATAATCTGGGAAGGGTCATAGAACTTGCATAGTGTTGTCATATTGTTAGGTTAACTGCTTCTATTGTTTTCATTTGTAAGTTGCTTTGGATAAAGGCGTCTGCTAAATTAATGTAAATGTAAATGATTAGATGTGGTCAAGAGTGTTTGATATCCATATATCAGACACTAAAACCATTTACATGTAGGCCTACTTGTTTACAACCTCCATTTTGATTTTCAGGTAAGACCCGGAAGTACTTCAAGTCTGGCGACGTTATTATCGTTGTCACAGGCTGGCGCCCAGGATCTGGCTACACCAACACCATGCGCATTGTTGTGGTGCCTTAAACACGACCTCATGAACTGTAAACCCCATATGTTTTCACATGCAAACAGCTGTTCATCCTCCAAACAAGATATTCAAGTCCCAAAAATAGACTTGTGGTTTAAATTCCCATCAAACTCATGTTATGTCGAGGAGATCCTTTTAATCCCTTTTCATCCCACTGCAAAATTATTTTCATCAGAACTGTACTGTATGTGTTTACAGTGACCTTTTGAGTATCCTGAATTTATTAATGTATTGTGGAATTCCATTATTTTCCCTGTATGTTTTTTTCTCTCTCTTTGAAACAGCTTATCGTTTTGTATATGTTGTGCTTTCGCATAAGGCATTTTGGCAAAGGCAAATATTCCAATAACGCCACCTCGTGGACTAAATTGAAAATACAGAATCTCGACAATTCAGGTCAGTCCAATGTCATTTCTCTGTGTTGTTGGTGTGTTTATACTTCTAAATAGCACCTCATGCAAAGTAATATCAAATATTTTTAGAGAAATTATATTGAGTTGTTGGCTACATGTGCTTGGATTAGAAAGTTCTGGATTTATTTGGCTATCAGTCTGTACTCGATTAGCTGTAATATTAAATAAATTACCTGAGATAAAAAGAAAGGTAATTTAATAATTCATTGGCTTTAGACAGACCACTAGGGGTCAGTGTGTAATTGGACACCCAAGGCGCATTATTAAAAACAAAACATGTTAAACGTTCATAATCTAATCCTTTAATTTAGTGCTGCTAAATAGCGACAACTAATACTCTTCCACCGGGAAGAGGGTGCTGGAAAAAAAGCACGGTCTAAATAAAAACTTATCTTCTGTGCAGGAGCCATTCGATTGCAGTGAGTCAGCAGTCCTGATATGCGCAATTAAAATTTACACAGTAACTTTTCAAACTTTCTCAAGGGCCGACAATAAGGGGAAACTTCAGGGCATCAGGTTTCAGTGCAGACTAGGGATCCATTTGGCATTAATATAAGGGGATCACGCTGTAATTAGCAGGGCTTGCAGTCTGGGTGTACCTTGGCTGCATTGTCAGAGTGACAGGGATCAGCTGGTCAATTTGTATGCAAATAGGGTGAGGCTTAGCCAGACTTTGATTTGCCAGCAGGGCTCGCTGACATCAAGCCGCTATGAGTGGAATTCTACGAAGCATCAGCGCCAGAGCAGGACAAAGTATTATAGCTGCCTGCCATAAACACCATTTCAGCCTTTGGTTTGTTCTTTACAAGCCATGGGAAGGATAATACTTCTCTGGTGAGCATCAGATCTGAGCGTAACGTACAGATTAGATGCTCTGTTTCGCGATGATACTGATAGGGGTTAAACAGTCCAGTATAGTGGGGGATGGAGAGCAAGCAGTGGGAGATTGATCCACTACTGTCTCGGGGAAGTGGACGATGCTATCTCAGTTCCCCACTGGAGCTACATCGAGTGTCAGAAGCGCTGGAAAGACTCAATAAGTGGGAGAAAACAGCAGTTTGGATTTTCAAGGACACGACCTTGTGATTGTCTCGTTCTGTGGCTGTGTTACAGAAGCCGTATGCTCGATTCGAGATGATGCATGAATGCGAGAAATGCATTAAGGCTGTCCTTCGATTAAACATTTTGACTCGAAATAATTAACGTTATATTGAATTTATTCATATTAATAATAATTAAAAAAAATAAAGTATAATTTCAATATTCAACACCTTATTTTTCAACAGGGAAGTTGCTTCTGAATGTGCAAGACCGATTCATCTGCTTGTTAAAGTCACCATGAAATCAAAATGAACAATTCTTATTTTTTATGGAATATTGCAGCATGTGTTATAAATGATTTATCCGTGCACACATCTTTTTTTAAATTATGTGCCCTGTAACTCCCTCCCTTTTGTAGCGTCATCTCTTCTCTGATGACGTGTTTATTGGCGCGAGGGCGGGGCAACCTGTCACTCACATGAGATTGACCAATAGCAAACTACAACTATAATCAATTCCCAATGGACAAAATCAAGTCGTGTCTTTTTTCATGTTTGAGAAGTTGTTTCACTGGAATAGATGTCACAAAAGAGAAAGTCAGTCTCAGATGTTGAATGACAAAATAACCTTATAAAATGCATACACACAGATGAGTGTACATAGTGCACAAGTAGTGCAGTGTGTAATTTGAGATGCAACTATACACTGTAGGCTAATAACGAAAAATCATTACCCTAACCTTAATCTCCATACCGAAATCTCAGATGGCCAGATAGTCATTCATCTTTTATGAATCCTTAAAATATTGGTGCCTGAGATATCATGAGCCAGGAGACTGAGGTGTACACAGTGAGTCTTTAAAAGCTTGGATTCATACAGGATAAATACAGGATTCATAAACGACTGCTAAGAGAGTAGGCCTATTCTCAATTGAAATGAGTAAAGGCTTGGACCCGGACACTGAATTTCTTAAGTCAATAGGTAAATAATTTTACATAACTATAGTAAATTAAAATATACCCGTTTGCAACATCAAGGAACTTGACAGATTGTTTTAGTACCGCTAAAATAACTGGAAGCCACTCTTACAAAAAAAGGGGGGGGTAGGTATTGTTTGTTGTATTTAATATCATTGAAAATTAAATGAATGTGGTATCATTAACAGCTCTGATACAAATATAATAAAATACGGGGAGGAACTTTACTCAAGATGGTACATGGTCAGGATGAAAGAAAGATAAACAAAGGTCTTTATAACGAAGACAAAGGAAAACAATATAATTTTTTTTTAACAATTATTTATCAATTAACAGCTCAAATGAAGTATCATATAGCTATACTCATGAATATTTGTACATACATGATTATTCAGTATTCATGATGAACATTATATTCTGTAATATTTTGATTCTGAAGCATGTTAGTCATATTACATCGTTACTATAATTATCATTATAATCAAGATAAAGTGAAACACTGACCAAATATGACAAGTTGGCTATCTAACTCCCAAAAAAAAGAGGGAAACAAAGGCTGTAATTGTTCAAAACGTGAAAATATTGCACTATGTTTGTGAATTCGGAAGGGGGCATATTGAAGCTGTTTAAGTTGGAAGAAAAATTATTTTTTTGATTAATTGAAAGTGCACTGCAGACTGATGCATAATGACACAACTTGTTCATCGTGGATATGCCATATGGCTTAACCATTTTGCCATACAGTGACTATAAAATCTGTTTTGAACTATTACAATTTTTAACCCAAAATGACTGAGTATCCTTTATGAACTCATAGGCCATCCATACGTGACCACCTCTTAATAAAGTCAGGCTGTCTGTAATGACGTTGGTGGGGTTTAAATGCTACTATAACGATCATAAATGATACCTCACTTTGGTTATGGTAAACAATTAATGCACAGAATATTGTAAAATGCTACAACATAAATGCACAGTAAAACGCACATACACTCACACTCAGACCTGAAAAGGAGAAATATTACAGTGTAATGCATTGTGTGCTCTGTAATACTAACAAAAACCTCTTTGATGCTTTGATATTTAACTCATTAATTTTCAACATCACATACCACTCTCATTTGCATTTTGCCTTGCAATTCTATCCGACTTCAATGGAGGGAAAAATGTTAACTTGAAAAAATCAGGCTCAGAAAATTAAAATAATGATATGATAATCAAATGCATATTGCAAGAATGGAACAGAATTGAGTGGAAGGACCGAGTGTTGCATAATGACAGTATCTGTAGACTGATGGTGACAGTATATAGATTATGAATATATAGATTAACAAAACAAACACATACACAATAAATAGATATATACATAGACATGTATTATAAAATCATATAAATTATACAATATATAATAACCTGGGACAAAGCAGGGAATTTCCATGATCAAGCTGTGTAAGCTTTGCTCAAAAGGAAGGACACTTAGAAAAATACTATTCCTCCTTTTACCACCAGCCACATATGACATGTCGTAGCAGGTGCTAAGCTAACTATTGTGTTAGTAGAGTTCTTTCATGTTAGTCTGCTGTACCTCTGCTGCAATGCATCTCAAATGGTCAAAAATGTTTAATTTAACAGATATGAAATATAATACATACTAACCAAAACATGTATTGCACAACCAGAAAACATATGCAACCTCATGCAAATTGTGGGGTAGCCTATAAACTAACTGCATTTTACAAAATGTGCATTTTAACAGATGCCAAATGGAAGTTAAAACATACAAACCAAATTCTAACATGACTTATGTAACTCATAAGCTTTGGTAACTGCAGTGGGCTCTTTTTTTTTATAACTGTGTCATATTGGTTGTGTCACTGCCATTAACAATCCTCCAGTATGTTTTGTTTGACAGGAAGAAAGCTGCAATTTACAGATCAACCTCTGTGCACGTACAAAAACCAAGCATACAGTTTTATTGCTTAAGTACTGCACAAATTCACATACAAAGCGCATACAAAATGATTGCAAAACATTCTTAATGTTCTCGGTTCTGTTGTGGAAGTGAGGGTGTAATTCCCTGGTGTCCAGACACTAAGGCAGTATTGTTACAAAAAGGAAAGGCCATAGATACTGAGCAGTACCTCTTTGTCAGCAAGGAGGTATGGGGTCAAGGTCAAGCGGAAAGTTCATACTAGGTCTAGATACTTGGGATGTTGAGGGCTAGGTTTTGATTGTGCATGTGTGAATGTTTGTGTGCATCTCTGTTTGTATATATCTGTGCCAGTGCCACCTGCCCGGAGAGACCTGTTCTTTCACAGTGACTGATGAAGTGCGATGGACAAATGTAGCTTTGCTTCCCTGACCCAGCATAATTCCCTTCTTTAAAAAGAGCACACTATTATAACATTACAATAGCAATCGCACACTCACACGTACACACAATCACAAACATACATACATCCTTTAGAATTATTACTTTGAAATAACTTTTTTTTGGAAGTCATAATTTGCATATCCCTATACAGTCTTATCATCAGACAATAATATTGCAAAAATTACTGACAGAACATGGAAGACAAATTTAAGTCCCACCTTAATTTTTCTATCAGTTTTTAATCCATTTCTTCTTTTGGCATAACAAATAGGGAAGTCATTGGACCAATAAAAAATCCAAGTAGATGAACATACACCCTCCTTCTCTGGTGAGAAATGTCAAAAAAAGTTGCTCAATCATTGCAGGAGGGTGCAGACCATTCTCACAAGTTCGATGGGAGTTTTGGGTGTAAGCTTGGTGTCCCAGGGGTGGACCTATCACTAGACCCATGGGCTGGTGACCCACCTGAGGACCCAGTCTGAGTTATGGACAACTTGGAAGTTTGTCTCGATAGGACAACATGACCAGGTATTGAGCTAAATGGTTTCATAATCGGAGGGGGCGATGGGAGAGGTGAGTAACCTGAAGCCGATCCTCTGTGATGGGATAAGTCTGGCGGTTCTGGTCCTCTTCCAACTAACTTGGACTTTTCAGGTAGTCCTGGGGTGGGGAGGGACTTGGAAATGGTGGTTAAGTCTTGTGAAGGTAGGTCAACTAGAGATCCACCCCTTTGTCTTGTTTGAGGTGGTGGTGGAAAGAGTGTCTGAGGGGTTATGAGTGAGCTTTGGGATCCAGAGATGCTAGCAGGGTTGCTGTGCATGGACATCCTCATCTTCTCCACTGTAGGACTCTGGCGCGTGGGACTCCAAGCTGAAGGTGTGCTACATGGGGACACATTTCCGGACCCATATTGTGCAAGGGAAGCAAGAGCAGATGGTTCTTGGGAAAGCTGGGAAAGAACATCTGGCTGTAGACTAATCGGAGTGTGCTGGGATGGGACTTGTTGGGATGAGATGGGACTTGTTGGACCCGAGACTTGTTCAAGAATGCTCCTGGAGTGGATAGGGGATTCTGTTACAGGAGACTGGGAGGCTGTCCTTTTAACTTTATTCAAGCCTTGACTTGGTTTTGTTGGTTGAGGATTTGGCTGAGCTGAATGCAGTTGGGTCAGGATGGGACTTACAGAGTGCGCTATCAAAGGAGTAAGGGTGGATGTAGGGGGAACTGAAAGCTGGACAGCCTCTCCTCCAACTGCTCCTTGTTGGAAGAAACCACGAAGTGATGCAGCAATGCTGGGGAAAGAGGCCTGAGGAAGTTGTGGTTGAGAATGAAGCTGGGCAACACTGAAGTCTTTGGACCCGTGGGAGACAAGGGGTCTATGAGGGTAGAAGGAAGACTCTGTGATGCTGGAGGTGGTAGTGGTGACAGTTGTTGTGATGGTGGATGGCAGAGAGCTGGAGGACGGTGGTGGAGGTGTGGAGGTAGATGATCTCTCGGCCCTGAGTGTGTCCAGAATTGGGGTCTCTATACAAGAGCTGAACTGTGAGCTGGTTGATGAGGAGCCACTAAATGCAGCAGCGCCCGAAAGTGCAGTTGGGAACCTTTTTACATATCCTGGCTGGTCTTTCAGCGAGCCAAGCAGCGGGACAGGGGGTCGGAAGAGGGAATGGGGCAAATGGGGGTGGCGAGTCAGGGCAATGGCTACGGAACTGGTGGCTGCGGCAGCTTGTAGTGGAGCCTGAATAAGAGGTGCCCAGATGACGGGGGTGTGGGAAGATGGTGTCGGTGCTGGGTGAGGAGCTGGGGGTGGTGTCTGCATGAGGTGGGCACAATGGGCCATATCCCTGTCATGCTGCACAATCTGCTGGATGATCTCGTTTTCTTGGTAGTTCAGAACTCCGGAATTAAGATCCCGTTGGACCTTGTGCTGGAGGACAGAGTTTTTCTTTCCTGTGAGGACAAAAAGGAGGACAGAAAAGCATGGATAACAAACTCAATAATGTAGTTTGACTTAAGCTTTAAAAGGAAGGAAAATGTAGGGCTGGGAAAATTAACATGTTTATTTAATGTGATTAATATGGAATGGTTCCTTTGATTGCTTAAACCTGTACTTGGATACTTTAACTGGCAATTCCAGAGCTAATCCGTGGAAATGAGTCCACATTAATCACCATGAAATCAAAATGGATCAAAGTTACTTGTCTTAGTCAAAAGGCAAAGAAAGATGCATATATAGTTCATGCCTTCAGGATCACTAGAAACTTCTAGGCAGGTGTGTTGGAGCTAAACTCTGCAGGAAAGTGGCCATACAGGAGCAGGTTTGGACACCCCTGACTTAAACCATATGGGTTGTTCGATAAATGTTAACCAATAGCCAAACAGCTATTTAAACATTGGTTTAGCAAAAAAAAAATTTCTTATTGAATATCCTGTTTCAGATTATAATACAACACATTATGCACGTAAAAAGGGTTGTGAACTGCAAAAATGACAAAAGCAGGGGACAAGATGTGACCGCTTATTAAACTATCCACTCTTCAAGGACATCTCAGAGCAGCTGTGAAGAACATAAGCCTGTTGAACTGACAGCTCTCACCTATTCGGTCAAGGCGATCGAGGGCTACGGTCTCAAAGGCGCGTCGCATCATAGGGTACTCCTCCAACACCTCGTTGAAATGGTCCACAGAGAGTGAGTACAGACGACAGTATGTGTCCGCTCTGACGCTGGCTGTTCTTCTGCCTCGAGTCAGCAAACAGATCTCTGTGGACATTTTGCAACATGAGGCAAATGAAAACCACACAGGAAGAACATGTATCCTAAGAGCAACGAAAGAACATGCACAATATATGTTTATGTATGTAAATAATAGAATGAATGAATAGTAAATAAATGAATGCATGATTGGGTATACCCTAGTATCCAGCCCCTAACTGACCATTAAACAGAAATGTTTCTTCAGCCTATGTTTAGAGCACTTCAGCACTATTAATATGTGCATAAATTCACAATAGCGGGAACCATGAATTAAATATACTTCCTGTGACTCAGACTTTATATACTTGGAGCCTGTTTTTTTTAATGGTCTTTTTTAATCTGCACCCAGAACATTAAAATACAATTTTGACAGCGTAAAGTTGTACTCAGCCATCATCTGTCCAGTCAGATCACAGAGTAAAAGCTGTATTTGAAATGCAGAGGAAATTTCTAAGCGACAGACAAGCAGGAGTTTGAGGAGAAGACACAGGGGACTGTCAACAGTAATGTGGTAATCGAGTGTTCCCAGTCAGTATCTCACCTTCAAACCCAAGAAATACAGTTTACTGCTTTGCCAAAAGTTCAATGACTAGATTATAGCATTTCATAAACCTGAAAAAGTGAATGTGCGTGGTTTTCTGTACACTTTTATGTAGAGTTAAAAACGCTAAGCACTGTTAGCCATTTGGTTTCTGAATGGCCAATGTAGCATGTGCTTAGGTTAATTTTGGCTGTTGGTCTTATAAGTTTTATTGCTCAATACACTAATTTCAATGATTTGTTAGTAGTAGTAGAGATTGGTATTCAAAATATAAGAGCTTATACCACTTTCAAGATTATTAAGAAGATATTTTTGAATGCTTGCATTTGCGCAGCTGATATTTCTGAAGGGTGCTGAAGAATAAGAATACTATGGGGATAAATGAGGTGCTGTTGGTCATTCAAGAACCTGAAATATGAGGTGGTGTTGTTTGGGTAAGACAGAGGGGTCTGGCTGTAGAGATTAATTTCACTCTCTTTCTCTCTGTCTAGTCGTCATGGCCAGAGTCATAAAGAACACACTGCCAAGAGCCAATCCATCAGAACACGCACATTCACTAACACACATCCTGAGAGAGGGCACGGGGGTCGAGAAAGATGGAAAAACAGAAATAAAGAAACAAAAAATACAAAGACAACATGTTACCATGATAAAACCATGTTTTTTTTTACTCTATTATGGTAAATGGTAAATGGAATGCATTTATATAGCGCTTTCACAGACCCAATGGCCACCAAAGCGCTTTACAATTTGCCTCACATTCACCCATTCACTCACTCACTCACTCATACACCGACGGTGTGAGGTATCGCCACTGCTTTTCTTTTACTGTATATACTATGAAATATGAATAGGAATCATATAGTACCATGAGATATTTGCTGTGATTTCCTTCTCGATTTAACTTAAGATTTTTTTTTTACACAAAAGTGGAAAAATTGGATTAGAAATGCAAAAATATAGTTAATCAATCAATTAGTTTAGGGTCAGTAATATTTTTTACGTTTTTGACAATGTCTAATGCTCACCAAGCTTGCATTTATTTGATCAAAATACAGTAAAAAAAGTAATATTGTGAAATATTATTACAATAATGTTTTTAAAATATAATTTAAAATGTAATTTATTCCTGTGATGCAAAGCTGAATTTTCAGCATCTTTACTCCAGTAAAGTGTCACATAATCCTTCAGATATCATTCTAATAGGCTGATTTGCTGCTCAAGAAACATTTTATTTCATATTAAATACAGTTAAAATATTTGGTAAACTATGATCATTTTTTTTTCAGTATTCTCTGATGAATAGAACATTCAAAAGAACAGTATTTGAAATACTTTTGTAACATTCTAAATGTCTTAACTGTGACTTATGATCAATTTAATGCATCCTTGCTGAATAATAATATTAATTTCTTAAAAAAAAAATCATACTGACCTCAAACTTTTGAATGGTACTGTATATATTTAAAGTTATGCATGCTATTTCACATTCTATTTTTCTTGAATTTTCTTGAAATAATAAAACAGTAGGTAGTTTACAGTGTATACTTTGCAGTGTGTTTGCAGTATTGCACCAGCATTGCATTCTCAACTAAACCCGATAGACAAGAGACAGAACAGAATGACATATGGGGACTGGGTGAGCTCGGTACTAGGCCACAATCCAGACTCCTCTTCCTTTTTGCACTTTCACACAGGGTTTATGGGAAAAGAGATTATGAGCGGCTTGTTGAACATGTAATGACCTCAAACGAGCCCGGGCAGAAGGGAAGGATTTTTTTGGAAAATATGATGAGATTTTTTTTCTTGCCTAAATCTGCAGCTCACTGATAGCACAAACTACTTAGTTGTGATCCCAGAATCACACAGGAGACAGTAATAGAGTTTATAATGGCACAGAACGCCAGGAAAGAGGCTAGCTTGCATACGGAGACCAGGTGGTGTATCATTTATTTCTAAATATTAGCATCACCCTCATTTTTCCTCAGAAAATAGAGAATGTTGATTTGTTTGTTAGACTCATCACCATTTGCATACAAGGTAAACTTTAATGTGAATAAATAGTTTGTCATTTTTGCAATTGTGAAAGGCATTTAATATTGTACATTGGACAACATAAACAAATGCAAAAATTAAAAACAGAAAATGTACAAGACAAGAAAACATGCACATCTATGTGGATTCATACAATGGTAATTGTAATGAGAAAAACTGCAGCGAACCGTCTCTGATGACAAAGCTCAACTCAAACGGTTATCTTCCCCTCCTTCCTCAATCTTGTGAGGAAAATTAATTTCATGAATGGTTAACTTATGCTGGGTGAGGAATTTCCCCAGGCTCCAAAAGCATGGCCATTCATTGATTTGGTTCCCTTGGAGAACCAGCCGATAACACTGAAGAACACAGTGGTACCAGCCTGAACATTAAGCACATAAAACCTCTCTAATAAAAACACAAACTTATTTGCTGCAACTTAAATGCCACTCCATCAACATTAGTTTCTAAGAGAATCCATACCAAGCGACATTTCAAAGCTATCATCATATAAATATTAATAAACATGTAAATGTTGCATCAAACCATCCAATCAGATCACGAACATCTTGCTGATATCAGTGTTCACTTACCTCCAAAGTAAGACCCGTCTGAGATCTTTGTCTCTTTGCTGCCCTTCGTCAGGACAGTTAGTACACCGTGTTGGATGAAATACATCTTCTTTCCGACGGTCCCCTCTTTGATAATGTAATCTCCTGGCTGGAACACCTCGAAACGTAGCTTTGTTAGCATGGAGGTCACAAAGTTGGGATCTGCGTTGGCAAACAACGGCATGGTGGCCACAAGCTTTCGACAGTTAAAACTGATGATTTCCTGTACACAAAAAAAATAGAGTATAGCAAAATAGGTGGATAGGTCTGTTCAATACTAGAATACAAGAAATGTAATAAAAGTATACACCAAGTGTCTTGTATTTTACTACTTACCTCTCTGAGCGGCTCGTTTAGTTCTCCCAGAATGCTCTCCTCGTCAAACATCTTGCCCTGATAGCGATGCTCATAGTAATCATGGATCCTCTGTCGCATGTCTGTAGGAAGTTTGTGGAAGGACATGTATTGCTCCACCTGTTTGTACTGCACAAATGACACATACACTATATTCATCAGCCTGAATATTACACAATTATCTACGTTTAGCAACAGTAAAAAAAAAATCCTGAAGGAATGTGGATGCTAATGAGATAATTTGGAACCATTCTTTAAGGACAATAGTGGGATCAAATATGAAACCAAATAAAATCAAGTAAAGACTAAAACATTTTTTTAAAATAAAAATAAATGAATAAATAAAAAGATGAAACAGAGAAATGTCAGTTTATCCAATAGGATCTAATTTGAATCTTATTGTTTCCAATTATTGCATTCATTTACAATTTATTTTCTATCAATCTAATTTATATGGGACCTTTGTTTGGCATACAAAACAAAACACACAGCAAAACAAAACACAAAGCAAAACACACAACAAAGCAAAACACACAGCAAAACAAAACACACAGCAAAACAAACCAAAAGCAACAAAAAAAGAAGAAAGAAGCAAAACAAAAAGCAGAGCAAAACAACAAAGCACACATCAAAGCAAATCAAAACAAAACACAGCAAAACAAAACAGAAAAAAAAGCAAAACAAAGCAAAACGAAAACAAAAAGCAACAAACTAAAATCTTTTTATGGCACCTTTGAAACATCATAATCCTTTGCATATGCACCATAGTACGCATATGGTAATGTCAAGGTACTATTATATTACCATCTGATACCATCACTTTACTATGGTACTGTCATTTCTTTTTAAAGGATCACAGTTGTACTTAAGTCTTGTCATGTATGATTTTCTGGTTTGGTATAAACAGACTTTAAACCCTCCTTAGACCCTGAGGTGTTGTCTCTAACTACACTGCTACTGATAAATAAATATTGACCAAATGCCTTGCAAAACAATAGATTGGTCAGTGTGACTGTCGGGCTCCATATTTACGCCAGTCTTCTCAGGCTCCATTTGCAAAGCCAGGCAGTGTTTTCACATCGGCGGCCATCTCCCCATTTATCATTGTCTTTCTGTTTGTCTCTCTCTCCATGCCTGTCTCTTTGACTTCAAGGAAAGGACGTACAGTATTGATAGGGTTTATTTTACCCACGATCCCCTTGTACTGTCTCTTTGTTATTTCATTTGTGTCTCCGAAACTGGCAGAGAGCGTCTGCAACACTGCGGCTCGGCGACGTTACGCCGCACGGCTCTCTGCCTCTGCTGTCCTTTCTAATAAACTTTGTTCTGTCACTAGCCATTTTGCTTTCTCTCTCCCGCTTCCATGAACTCCCGTCTCGGCTGTCGACGGTAGCAGGTTCCAATGTGCCCTTCACCACATGCTAATGTTCCTGCCATGTCAGCTGTGAACATCTCACTGGCGCAGGCACACTTGGTCTCTCCGAGTGGCTCTTCTATTATCATATTCAAGGGCAGGGGACAAAGCCAGCAGGATGAGTCCAAACAACAGGAAATAATGTCACGCAATACAGTTAGATTCCAACTGCGGAGCCCGGCGAGGGTGTGAAGCCGCAGAAATCCCAGCGTAAGGCAACCATGACTCATGGTGTTCGAGGAGAGAGAAAAAAAAAAAAAAAGTGTGTCATTGGAATTTGTCCTTTTTCTGGAAATGGATGCTGGTAATCGCATTGACACTGAGGACAGATATCCAATCGGAGTGTTGAAGCCCAAATACAGCAGGTAATGAAATCGCCAGCTAAGTTCACAGGACAAATTGACAACTCATTTTTATCCCTGTTGAACTCTCCCTAACCTAATCTTTCTCTCTCTCCCGGTCGTGTTTATGCGGAGCTTCAAAACCCTTTCAAACAGATGTGGAGAGGAACTCTAAATTATGTACTGTGAAACCATAATCAAAACCGTTGGCCTTCATGTGTTGGGCTTTCAAGAAAACAAAAAAGAAAGAGCCGTATCCTTTCCAGAAGGGAACCGCACATCAATACAGGCTCCTGTCAACAATGCAAGTTGCCACGACAACTGCAGTCGGGCTGAATTGACTTGAATCTTTTAACACAGCAGAGGTCAAAGCACTTGTATTTTCTTCTCATAGAAAATGACAACAGTTCAATTACCACTCCAGCACACTTACAGACACAATAAAACCGTGGATTGATCACCGCAGAGGTCAGAAGCCTCCGCGACTCGCCGCTCAAAACTCACGAACCCTCGTCGTTTTCCATTTTTCTCTCCACTCATTTGAGACCCGTGTTTTTCTCATTTTAAACAGGACTTCAAAGGCATTCTCGGATCTCGGAGTGAGGACATTTAGTCTGCTGGGAAATCTTTACAATGCTTAACAAACTGGGAAACGGCAGCTGCCCACCCTCATTAAAATGATCTCTGCCTTAATTGCTGGCTTACCAATTAATATTGCATTTTTGGGGGTTTTCCATTAGTAGCCTATATATAATCCACAACAATAAAACGAATACAGGAGACAGTTGTAACATGTTCCTTCATAACTTATGAACTGCTAACCAACATTATTTCCTTTGGTATGAGAAATAGTTATATGACCAAAAAATAAATGCACCATCAACAGTGTTGGTACAAGTAACGTGAGTAAGTAATCTGATTACTTTTTTTCAAGTAGGCCAACTAGTAAAGTAACGCATTACTTTTAAATTTACAACAATATATCCGAGTTTCTTTTTCATATAAGTATACCGAACTACAGCCATTATTTAAAATCAGAATTTCTCTGAGATTAAAACTCTTTGGGAACTTTTGGGATATTGTAAACTGCAGGAAATATATTTTATTACAAAAATCTTACATATTGTACCTTTAAATACTCTCCTCCCATAAATTTTGCATCTGAAAGGAAAACTCCTACAAATGCAAGTGCAATAATGTCAGCCGGAAAGTTGAATGGTTTGTTTGAGCTGCACCCTCTACTGTTTTGCTTTATTTATTTATAAAGCAAAACATTTATTTATTTATTTTTGTTATTAAAAAACAAACAAGCAAAAGTAACGTAACACATTACTTTCCATAAAAAGTAACTAAGAAATGCAAGTTTCTTTTTTTAGGGAGTAACGCAATATTTTAACGCATTACTTTTAAAATGAACTTTCCCCAAAACTGACTATCAATCTAATATAATATACACTACTGTGCAAAGTTTGGGGTAAGTAAGATATTTTTTAAAGAAATTAATAATTTTATTCAGCAAGGACGCATTAAATTGATCAAAAGTGGAGGTAAAGACATTTATAATTTTACAAAATATTTAAATTTCAAATAAATGCTTTTCTTTTAAACTTTCTATTCATCAAAGAATCCCGGAAAAATTGTATCACAGTTTCCACAAAATACTAAGCAAAATTGTTTTCAACATTAATAATAAGGAATGTTTTTTTTTTTATCAGCAAATCAGTATTTTGATTTCTGAAGGATCATGTGACAGAAGACTGGAGATGATGCTAAAAATTCAACAGAATAAATTACACATTAAAATAGAAACTGTTTTTACTGTATTTTTGATCAACTAAATGCAGCCTTAAAAAACATTTAAAAATCTCACTGATCCCATATCCTATACTCCATATATTATGTTATTAATATTATAATATATTACTTTTACTTTATATTTAAATATATGAACATATACATATGTAAATTATATAAATAACCATATAGCATGTTTTATACAATTGGATATTATTTATTGATATAGTATTTAATTAATAATATTACATTTTAACTTATATTTAAGATGCGTTTAAGCTAATATTATGCATTTAATTGATTTTTTATTTAATTCACAACTAAGAAACTATAACTATAAACACTGTTACAATGGTCCTAACTTGATAAAATGCTAATGCCAGCAACAGCGATAGCTTTAGTAACATTTGAGGAACAAATCAAATCGATATGAACTGGGTTTGAACAAGTGCATCAAGGGCAAGGGCATCAAAAAAGTATAATTTCTCAAATTCTTTCACAAACTTTACAGAGCATGTGCAGAGTATGTGTCATTAGCATATTTATAATAAAATAAATGTAGTGTTGCAGTTGCCCAAAGCTCCCCTACATTAAATTATTCTTAAAAAGATAACAATTTTACATCGCAGTGCAGCACACTTTATCTCAAGGCAAATGATTTCATCACCTCCTCTTTTTTTACTAACCTTCTCCTGGTACTGCCTGCGTGAGGAGTCCAGTGACTGAATGAGGGCGGTGGCGTGGCCCACAAACATGGCATAGCAGGTTGCGCCCACGATCATGCTGAGGATGGTCAGCCACACATCCGTCATGCCCACGGGAGGGTACATGCCATACCCGATACACAGCATGTGGCTCATGGCCTTAAACAGGGCATAAGAGTACTGCTGACCCCATGTGTCATTCTGTGAGGAAAGAGAGAAAGGGAGCGATGGACAGAGAGAGAGCAGGAAAGAGATAAAGAGAAAAAAGAACCCAAATTAAAGCATGAATATAATTATAAGCTTGAAAGACATCAATTGTGATTGAAAGCTAAAGAAATAGGAGAGACGGTGAAAGAAGGACAAAACGTGTCGTGAAGGGACAAAGGTACGAACCAATGAGAGGGAGAGGAGAGAAAATAAGACTGAGAATGACAGAATGTGAGGGAAAGAGCGCAAGACAGTGTTAGACTGGAAAAAAGAGAGACCGTTTCTATATATTTCTGACAGGACTCAGAAGGAGCCGGAGTACAGGCGGGAGAGAGAGAGAGTGAGGGAAATATCACGTCCTTTAGCAGAAGGGTCATTGCGAACGCTGCACATGCTTTCTTGATATCAGAAGATGGAGGAAAGCAGAAGGTAATGTTTTACAAATGCAAATGAAGCACAGTCGTGGACAGTATTCGTCTTTTCAGGCCTGGCATTTTTGGGCCAAATACTTATGCAGGTCCAGGAAATGATGCAGCTGGCCTTATTTCAGTCAAAAACATTAATTTTTATAAATATTAGTTCAATATGCAAGCCAGTTCCAGTTCGCCCCAGAGGAATAATATGAAAAAGTAATTACGACCTTTCAAGTTCACATAACTTAATTTTTTCAATTACGCATGAAGTTTGTTTACCTAACAATTTTAAGGCAACGGGTTTCCTCACTTTTTTAAGTCAACTGATCACTTTTTACAGTGTTGTAATTTTGACCTTGTTTGTCATAATAATTACTTTATATCTTACAAAATGTGTCTTTCTATTTCTCACAATTGTACTTTTTTTTCGTAATTGCATATTTATTTCTCATACTTGTGACTATTTCATGTAATCGCAACATAATTTCCCATAATAGCAACATTATTTCTCATCGTTTTATATTTCACAATGTGGCTTTATCTAAACCTGACTTTTGAGCAATCACAGCGCAGCCAAGAACGAGCTCCCACAGAGGTCCGACACTTTTTCACAGCGCTCCATTGACTTTAACACAGGCATCTCATATTTTTGGTCTCGGCAGGCTATTACCGTCGTAGTTTTATCAAAAATATGGTTAAATGTTGTGCCTGGGGCATTTGTAACACAGATACGCGTTTCCCAGAGAGGTTGGAGGGGGGTGTCCGTTTTTTCCCCTTCTCAAAACCGAAGTCAAATCCTGACAAGTGTCGTCTACCACACGCTGCTAATAAATCCAACGTTATACTCGCGTAGTCCGTTTGCTTTGTAATAACGGTTATAGAAGTGAATAGAGACCTACCCAGCTTTATATGAACAGTGTTGCTCCTTGATATTGTTAGTCCCAGCCTCCGTCTCGATTAGTAGGATATGCGGTGGTTCATTTTTTGACTCTGACCGGTATGCTTTTGCCCTAATTTGGATGCCTTGTTGTTCCTTGTGTTTCACCTGTATGTCGTAAATATAGCCTTCGAACGTATATTGCAGCCCCTTTTGCCTACTTCTATCGGACACTTTATTTGCTGCTTTATAAAAGTTTGATAAAATTTTAGCAGGAAGAGCTGTCACAGCATAAGCCATGTTGATACCAGAGCCCAGATGAAGTTTGTTTGTCGGACGTAGCAACAGTAACTAAGGGGGGCGGGGCTTAGCCAAAGGCGAATTGTGACTTTCTCGTAATTGCAACTTTGTTTCACAATGTGGCTTTACATCACAACATCTGACTTTCCATCTCAGATCTGAGATAAGAGTTTCTGAAAGTGCTCTGAAACTGCTACAGCAAATGCTGACCAAGTATTTGAAAGTTGAGCAGAGAGCTCATTGGCTACTGATATAGCAGGAACCAATCAGCTGTGCCCTATGATGTGATTGTAAGTAGATCGAGTCAAGTACCTATCACCCTGAGCCATTTAGAGTTTCATGGCATAACTTTGTATTTCTCTGTGTAAACTTATTCTCACAATTACCCTTTTATTTTTCTACTCCGAGGCAGAAACAGCCTTCCATAATTAAAAATGTTCCATACAGGTCATTTTTACAGAATGTGGATATTGGAATGAATAAACTTCTGCACATGGAAAATGCACATGGAGAAACAAACACGAATGGGCCCTTCGCACTTACCACCATTTTGTTTTTGGCCACCCAGCAGTCTGAAGGGAAATCCTGCAGCATGGGCACCAGGAACTGCAAGCATCCGTCCCAGTGGCACAGCAACAACATCATTCCAATGAGATTCACAATGCGCACCATGGCACTAGCCAGGTCATAGGTCATGTGAAAAATCTAAAGGAAAAAAGACGTCAGAGATGTGCAACCATGATGGCAGAACTAGAATATGCCGTATTGGGTCACAATTAAGATTTAATCCTCACTCAGTTCTAGGCCACATTGTCCTTAAGCTGGTTTTTAGCAGCAAAACGCTTGGCTTGTGGAGTATTACATAAGGTACTGTATCTCTTCTGCTAATGTCACTAATAGTTCCTAGGAGATCAGTGGGAGGCCAAATAAGAGGCTGATGTTACCCACAATCCATAACGGCACCAATGCACCACCCCCCAGTGGACAAAAAAGCGGTGTTCCCAAATAGCGGTAATTAAAGTGCGAAATCCAATAGATTTCCGTTAACTCGCAAGGTTGAGGGCTGATAGGGTTGAGCGATCGAAGCAATTAAAGGGTCATGGTACACGCTTTTAACTTTGCCATGGACAAACAATGGTTAGGCTGAGTAGCACGTTGCTGTCTGCAATTGTGGTTAATTGTAGCTTGATTTAGAAGCAGCTATTTTTTGGCAGAGCTAAAACTAAATCCACGTGATGGCAAAACAACCTGAGTTTCAGATACGAGTGTGAAGTTGATATGACTTTCTGTCCATTATTGCTGGCCGTGATTTTAACAAGTAGGGCATGTTCCTGGATCAACACTGGTTGGTCCTAGAACAACATTTCCATTAGCCATTTTATTAGGTCACTATTAAGGCCAATTCACATGGCACAGACAGACACCGACCAACAGAAACAGATCATTTGTTGGGATTTGTCAGATCAGGGTGTTACTCTTGTTTTCGCCAGTTGAACATTGTAGGGTCGTGGATTGTCTGAGAAGGGACTGTAATCTGGTGATTGTTCACATTGGTCGGCATCTGTTGGTACAGGGTGAAATGACCTTTAGAGGCTTGAACAACACTGTTATCTGTTACCAATCATTTCCCCCTAATTTTAGGGGTAATTAAAAGAAGAGTCCATCCAAAACAATTTCTGCCATCATTTAACATGTTGTTCCAAACCTAAAGGTGTCACATAGTCATCTATCCTCACCAAGGCTGCATGTATTTGACCAAAATATAGTAAAAACAGTAATATTGTGAAATATTATTACAATTCAAAATGAATCTAAATGTAATTTATTCCTCTGATGGTCAAGTTTCAGCATCATTCTTCCAGTCTTCAGTGTCACCTGATCCTTCAGAAATCATTCTAATATTATTATCAATGTTGAAAACAGTAGGGATGCACTGATATGAACATTTTGGTCGATATCGATAATTCTTTATATTTGAAAGCCGATAACCGATGTATTGGCCGATAAAGCTAAATCAGCTTTCAGCTGAAGGGAATAATCCATTAATTATCAGCTTTAATATATCGGCAAAATGTTCTTATCAGGCCGATAACATTAAAAATTAACATATCGCCCGCTACCGATATGGTGGCCGATATATCGCGCATCCCTGGAAAACAGTTGTGCTCAGTGCTAAATATTTTTGAGGAAACCATGATAGAGAATTCTTTGAAGAATAGAAAGTTCAAAAGAACAGCATTTTTTTAAATATAAATTGTAACATTATTAATGTCTTTACTGTCACTTGAACAATTTAATTTATGCTGTATAGTTTATGCTGGAGTATTCATTTCTTGTAAGAAAAAAAAAAAAAAAAATCTCACTGACCCAAAACTTTTGAACAGCAGTATAAAGCAGTATTTTTGGTACTCCTATTTATAATTTGTCATTTTAGAGCTCAACAACCCAAATCACTTTAGAACAACATGAGGGTGAGTAAATGATGGCAGAATTTTCATTTCAAGGCAAAAAAATTCCTTTAATGGTTTACATTATGGTTACAGTTGTGTTTAGGAAATGAGTATATTCATTTGACAGAAATATTGCTTCAGGACCACCAAAAGAAACCACAGCTAGCTCCATTATTAGTATGGGAATATCAAACAAGATTAATATCACAGTTCATTTTCTTTTCAACATTTACAAGACACAAGAAAAGGTGTTTATTTGTGATAGATGTTACAATCTAAAAGTCTACACAAGTGTATCTTACCTCCTCCCATTGGTGGATGTATCTAATGAGTCTGGACAATCTCAGTAGCCGGAGAAGACTGAGTATTTTAGTGAAACGCACAATCCTCAACGCTCGTGCCGTCTTGTAGAAGTCCGAGTCGATTCGTGTCTCCACAATGAGGAAGATGTAATCCACAGGGATGGAAGAGATGAAATCCACAGCGAACCAGCTCCGAAGGTACTTCACCTTGATCTGCTGAGGGTCCAGGATGATTTCCGTGCTGTCTTCCTTGACGATCCCGGTGCGGAAGTTCAGCACCAAGTCAACCAGGAAGAATGTATCAGAGACCACGTTAAAGACTATCCAGGCGGGGGTGTGTTCATCTTTAAAGAAGGTGATGCCTACGGGGATGATGATCAAGTTGCCCACCATCAAGAGGAGCATGATCAGGTCCCAGTAGAACCTAGAGGCCATAAAAGACAAAGTGTTTATTTAATGACTTCGAAACAGAAGAGTCTAAAATTACCTTTGGAGCCATTCCCGATTAAAGGCAATTAAAGATTATAAATTACAAATATAGCTGCGAGCAGCAATTGTCGGGGTTCAAGCAGATTGAGGACTTTAAGCACATGCGTAAAAATATATTATGTTTTATTTAGCAAGCCTGTAACCATCTCAATCATAGATGGAAATGGGCATTTACAGCCTATACAGGAAATATATGGATTTAAAGTTGTTTAACAGTTAACAGTAATTCATTGGGCGATGGTGGTTGACATGTTTTTTGACATACGTCAATGTACGCATATACAATTATGGCAGCTCGGACAAAGACACGGCGTGTCAATTTTCAAGTCAATCGGACTAGCGATGAAGTAGTTTTAGCCGTTGTCCTGTTTTTTCCTGTTATAGAGCCACCTATTGGCCAGTCGCCGTGTCCTTTTCAACCATAGACAGTAAAAGAAATGGACACAGCGACCCCATAGACTTCAACGGAGAAAAGTGAAGTCAATTAGAAGCACTCACTTCCTGATTGCCAAGCGCACTGCGCAGGCTCAAACTGAGCTTGACGACGTAGATGTGGCGTGAGCAACTTGTACGTCTTCTAGTAGCTGTGCCAAGAGGAATCTGAATCATTCCCTTCCGAATCTTGCAGAGCCGGAGTTCGTGAGTATTAGCAGTCCATGAGCTAGCAGCAGGAGCAACTTTATGACACTCTATGGGCTTCTCCCTTGACTTTATGCCTCCACGTCCCCCCGATTGCGCGCAAGCTTCTACTTCTGTCTATACGGGAGTGCGACAGAGAGTCGCGTGTTATGACGCAATCGTTAGCCTATTTTTACAAAAACGGCTTCTACGGGGCCATAACGTAAGATACAAGGTAATCGAGCCTTTTATACATTGTAGTGTTTCTTTAGAAATAAACAATGGACAAATGGAGTCTTTAAACGCGTCAGATGTAAAATTATTCGCTGTCAAAGTGACGCAAAAATGAATGGGAGTCAATGGGATGCTAACAGCAGGTGAAGGCTTGTTAGCCAATGGCGGCCCCCGGGGAGACTTCAGTTTCCGGCTGGTGGATTACCCCCTTGTTTTCAACGCAACCACAGAATGAGCTCTTACATAGGTGCGCCGAGTTTGGTGAAAATATTTCATTCTGTTCACGAGTTATACCCTCCCACTTCGAACGTTTTGGCTACGCGCTTAAACCCCCTAGGAAGCTCAGACAGAACTGGAAAGCATGTAGCTCTGTAGTTTAACTGATGCGCCAGGGAATAATTGATGAGACGCATGCCTTGAAAGCACTGTTAGTGGCTTTGGGTAAATGCATCTGCCAAATGCATAGATCTAATCGTCTACCATCATTTCCTCAAAATAAGTATTATGATGTTAGCAATCACAAACACTAATCTAAAAACCGTACTCAGGATTCCTTGAGAACGCTTCATGAGCACACGCTCATGACTGACTGACGCTGGAAATGGCTGGCTGTCTGGTTGGGCTATTACTTCTCATTTATGGATGAGTTCCCTGTTTGGTAAATGGATGTGTCGTACGCATGTAAATGAAAGTGGCTGGAAGACATCCAGGAGACCTCCTCTGGCAAGACCGCCATTTCATCAATAAAAGATCTGCTGGGTGAAACATTTACACAAAAATAAGCCACCATAATTGCTGAACGCAGCATAATTACCCCATTGGCCTATACATACAAAAAATTGTCTTTTTTGGGTTGCTTCTAATATTTCATGATATTTTACAGTATTTGCCTGCCTCTTTTCCCCCTGTGCTAATATTCTTTTACATCATTTGATATACAACACAAACTGAAGTCGTTGATTAGCCTTCTTCATTTATACCGTGGTAGAGAGCTATATAGTTGGTTAATAAATTCCAGTCTTTTGCTGCGGAGTTGTAATTAAGCAGGAATCGATCACACAGAGGGTTGGTAAACCGTCCAGCTCGGTATAGATTGCAATGAGAGAACGAGGCTCTCAGCATTTCAGAGTTGTCCAGTGGGATTAGGTGTTGTTTGACACCACAGACAAGAAAAAAAACATTCGGTTCGATTTTAGACTTGGCCCTTATATTTGTGTATAAATAGCTCACAATGTTTTCTTCAGTGACAAATCGCTTGCGAAAAGCAGATTAACCGTGATCTCACACAGTATCAGATCATGACTGAAGGTTACTTTTCAGCAATCACATTAATGTAAATAACCATAAACGCATAAATAAAGCTACATTTTGTTTCACAGATAGTTATGTGTCTGTTAAAAAAAAAAAAAAAAATGGGGTTTTGATAGATTTTAGTCTAGTACTCCATATGGTAAAAGTATATAAAATCTAATTTTTTTCTCTCAAAGTTATGATAAAAATGTTCATCCAGTAATGTTAATAGAATGTTTGTTCAATGTTATGTGGCCTCTAATAATGTTTGCACAAACATGTTATTTGTACATCGTTCAGGGAACATTTTAGTTCATCTAACATTTTTATTAATGTTACTACTTGTTTCAGAACATTTAAAGAACATTCAAAAATAATGCTCCCATAATTTGTGCAAAATTATAAAATAGAATGTTTCCTTAACATTCGCATAACCAAGAAAAAAATAAGTTTTAAAATAAAATTAAAATAACGTTTTGAACGTTCAGGGAACATTCAGACATAATGTTTTCATAACATTAGCTAAATGTTCTAGAAAATACTTTTATTAGCTGGGTTCTTGTACAAAACATGTACAAAATATATGTAAACAAATATATGAAAAATGCTCATCCTGCACTACACAGATTTGTCCAATTAAATTCTCCCAATGACTGGCCCACTGTAAAAAATTATATGATCAATAAGTTATGACAACATATGTTTTTATATTGCTTTAACTCATCAAAATAAGTTAAGTCAGTATAATGCAATTTAAATTGAAATTACTTAAACATCCAAGTTGATTGTAAAAAAAAGTTGCTGCCTTTAATTAAGTGCAAAAAAATAAAATAAAAGCCTTATGATACATCTCACTCAAACTTACTGTTTTAATAGGAAACACTGTGCATCCACACAGCAACAAAAACTGTGCTTTGCCTGTAAATCTATTTCATGGAGTTTTTAAATAAATCAGATGGCACTTAGAATAGAACAAATGAAGTATCTGAAAAAAGAATTAAGCTAATATTATATGCTGCTTCTCTGGCAAGATAATACTATAATCACATGTATGTTAAATACCTACATTTAAGTAATCTAAAATCTGGGTTTAATCAAATGGAAAAATACTACTTCTGCACTTCAGCGTTGCATGGCTCTATTTTACATTGCTTGAAATGAGCTTTGGGGGAGATTAAACAAGAACAAACCATCTATAGGAAGTGTCACTAAATCTGCCAGATTATTCTCAGACAGTTTTCAGATTATAAAGGATTTGCCATTGACATTTAGCCTTGGACAGATGCTCCAGTGGTCAAAGCAGTCAGTAGGCAAAAAGAATAAGTAATACAGCAACATGTGCTGAACTGTGTACCATACACATGCAAGAACTAAATGTGATGTACCAATACCGTAACAAGTTTTAAAACTATATAAATGTAGTGATTAAATGATTTAACAAAACATACATTTATATCAAATAAAATAAATAAATGTTACGGATGTGGAAGGAAGAAGTGCGGCAAGGACCGAATTACAGCCGTTTTATTTAAACAAACACAACGAAGATCATCCAAACCAGGCAAAAGTCCAAACAAGAAACACATTCAGACAAGGTAGAAGAAGACAAACGTAACAGCTTTTCAACAGGGAGGTAAAGACTACGGCTGCGTCCAAAATCACATACTCTCTGGAGTAGTAACTTATTTTGAACAAGTAATTCACGACCGCTAAAAAAGTATGTTCATAGAATGAATGTGTGTAGTATGAATGTAATCTGGACTCACTACATTCGCCATGCTGTCATTATCATGTGACCTACCAGCATCTGTTGTGTCACTTCACTGTTATTCATAAATCCTCTCCGATGGCCTCATGGGATAGTAAAGTGTCCATCGTAGGCAAACTTCAGAATCTCGCCGGAAAAAAGAAGGTCATCCGGTTACTTTTTGCCTACTCTTTTATGAATACTGTGAAATTAAACATACTTCTTTTGCCACATATTGTTTTTCGCCAACTATATTGTGGGGAAGTATGCGATTTCGGATGCAGACTTCAACTGACAACAGACTTCTGAAACACAGGGGTATATATACACAGGATAACAAGAGGCTAACTAGGAACAGGTGAGGCTAATCAATCACTATGAAAATAAACAAGAGTAACCATGAAGATAAACAAGGCAGCAATGCAAACAAAAGCAAACAGAAACTAAACACAGGAAGTGAAACAGCAAAACAATAGGAACAGATAATACACTTTAACATAAGAGTCCTTGAATGCAAAACAAAGGAGGACATAACACTTATATAAAATGATTAATACAAATTTAGTTAAAACTATTCCAAACATATATTTTTTAAATCTGAATACAAAACTACATTATAATAATTCCTATAAAATGTTATATTTATAGTTTTCAATAAGACACTATGCTGTATTTAAGCGTTTGGTAATGAAATATTTTAATAAATAATATATTTCTCCATGTTTAAACCCAATTTTTTCCACAAAATAAGCACGGAAATTGGAAGGAAGAACAACAACAACAAACAGATTCTGCCTGGACCTACCAATTAGTTGGTATAATCTCTTCATTTCATATCACATCACATCACAGTATTTTCTTGGTCCACTTAATCAGGATTATATTATATCCTGTAAGCTTCCATCATGTGTATATTAGCCTTTGCACTGCCTGCCTATTTGCAACATGAATATGCAGTTGTCCACTCACACTGTTACTGTATTGGAAATATCCAACTTTAGTATCGCTGTAACCACATTATAGACATTATTCTCTTTTCTCAATTCCCATGTGTGAACAAGGGATATATCAAATAAGAACATACACTATAAACGACCAGAAACCACAAGAGGCAGTCTTCAATGTCATTTGCAAGCAATGCTCTGTGAAAAGGTCTAGCATTGTTTCATTGTTTGTGTTACATAAAGATCCATACGACTTCAAAATGAAGGGGAATCAAAGCTTAAACAACCCTATTTAGGCTAAAAATCAACTAACAGATGAGAGTCACTGTTAAATGACAGCAGTGGGAACACATTTCATCCAAACAAAAGCCTTTCCAATAATCAGCTTTCTGTTACAATCTGCCAAAAATACACTCTCCATTCTCCTTCTCTCTATCTGTTGCTGCTTAGCATATTATGAGTCCTAATTGTCTTTCCCAATCCCCATCCCTCCAATTGTGATGATCTCTCTGTGGAATCTGTGTCAACTCTACTCACCAGATCTAGCCATCATCCCGAACGCTCTGCACCAGAGCTCAACCAGTCGCTCTGGCCGCTGGAGTTCCCTGCAGAAAGCTAATGTGTTGGGTACATAATAATAGGTTTATGCAAGCCATGATTCACTTGGGTGGCTGTCATGCAGCCGTCATGCAAAAGAGTAAAATGGATACAGATAGCCTAAAGGGTGTTTCTTCAACTATGGCCACTTATGGCCTTGTGAAAGTGAACTCAACCCAGACCTACACTCACTTTAGTTCTGTCATGGCAACTCTCTGAGTGTATTGGCATGCTAATGGATATGTTGATATGAATGGTCTTGGCGGAATAGATATTTTACGCTTCTGCTGTTGATTATTGCTGCTGCTGCAGAGCAAGTACAGGACTTGCTACTGTAAATACACACACAGACACACTGCTGTGAGCAAGTAAGACAAGCTGCTGCTGCTGTACAATATAGCGTACATGAATTACCTGTAGCAGATCTATACAGGTGGAGCTGGGGAGGTGGAGGGTTTCCTGAAAACGCACTGCAACTGCTACAGCAAATGCTGACAAGTATTTGAAAGTTGAGCAGAGAGCTCATTGGCTACAGATGCAGCATAAACCAATCAGCTGTGCCCTATAGAGAATGATGTGATTGGTAGCAGACTGAGTTAAGGACCTATGAGCCAGCGCCATTTAGAGTTTCATGACAACTTTGTATTGATGAAAGAAACGGGCCCCTTTCCTGTATTTTAAAACGATCAAACCTATAATTCACAAACTCCCAAATGTCTTTATCACAGAGACACAATGCTATCATGAGCATATCAAATAAGTTTTCATAATAAATGTTAACATTACATGGCTATTGGCTATAGGAAGATATTTTGAAGAATGTTAGTAACCAAACAGTTGACTTCCATAGTATTTTTTTCCATATGGGGTCCAGCAACTGTTTGGTTACCCATATTCTTCAAAATATTTTTTGTGTTCAGCAGAAGAAAGAAATTCATACAGGTTTGGAACAACTTGAGGGTGAGTATAGAGGGTGAATTTTCATTTTTTTTTTTAAATATTATAGAATACAAATTATTGGTTATTGTTCATTGCATTTAATTTCTTAGCCAATTAAAGGCCAGAGATAAGAAAAAATAAAACCTGACAATTGGACAAAGATCAGAAAAAAATGGTATTATATTTGACATTTTCTGTCCTTGAAATAGTTCTTGAAATAGTTGTAAGATATGATATGTTGTTTATATACTGTATATATATATATTAGCTTTTAAAAAAAATCAACCTCTGGGACACATAAGTGCACGATGTTGAAGAAACACATATGAATCTTTTGAGCACAGAAATCCACATCTAATGCAGTAATATATTTAGTGCATAATTTAAAAAAAAAGTGTTTGCTCTGTTAGTTCTCTTAAGATGAGTCGTGACGGAGGAATTTTTTTTATCTCTTGTGAGAGAGCAGTGCTTTCATTCTCCAATGAAGCTAATGGAGAAATGATGTGATGCACCATATTGTTCAGCAGAAAATTATATTTCCTACGCTTTCCAAATGCACTGCAGAACAGAGCTGCTCTGTGGTGATTCATTAAAAAAGCACGTCTCTTTGCTTCCCTTATTCCAGAAACCCTTGAACACTGACGCTAACCTTCCACCCCCTCTCAACAGCCTCCCGCTACATTCTGACACTCTCTTCTCATTTTCTGCATCAACCAGGTGATGCAATCAGCAAATGGAACTCCCTGCATCGCCCGTCCCCTTCCCAAACAGTGCTGAGGGGAGGAAGGTCAGAGAGCACGAGGAGAGAGGGATGTAGCAAGCGCAAGAGGAAGGAGACAAGGGCAAATGTGAAGATGACACCTGAAAATGCCAAACGACTAAGGACGTTACCTCTTGTGACAGGTGATTCTTTACAAATCACCTGCTGCTGTGTTTTTCTTTTTTGGTACACAACAGGTCTCGCTGAATTAACATTTCTCTTAAAAATAACGTTTTTTTAATTCCCGGCGTTGATGGTTTCACGAAGAGCCTCTGACATCCATGGAACCTCACCATTGCACAAAAGGATCTTTATAAAGAAATGGTTCTTCAGATTATTAAAAATGTCTTCACACTAAGAAAAGAGTGGGTCTTTTAAGAATAGAAAAATGGTTCTTGTGGCGTAGCTGCAAAAAAAAAAAAAAAACTATATTTTCAAGAGTTTTCAGTCAGACGACATGCATTTTGGATGGTTTTGCAAGTCCAAATGCCACTGACGTTAAAGAGAAACACTCTAGGAAAAATCCATAAAAATAGATCCCAATGTACTGTGTTAATAAGGAATTTTTTGTATTGATTTTTCACAGGTGTTTGTTTTACTCATATTCTGAATTACGCATTGCATTGTGATGTGTTTTAGGGTTAAATAAATGCAAACAAAATGAACAGAATGAAAATTCTGTTATCAATGTCTCACCCTCGTGTTGTTCCAAACCCGTATGACTTATATGGGACAGAAAGGAAGATTCATACAAAGTCCATACAAAGTCAATGGTGTCCAAACAAATCAAAAAATGGTTTTGTTTGGACCCCATTGACTTTCATTGTATGAACAAAAGCAGTTGTTAAAAAAATATCTTCTTCTGTGAAGAAGAAATCGTACAGGTTTGGGACGACATGAGGGTGATTAAATGATGGCAGAATTTTCATTTCTGATGAAGCTGTTGATTCAAAATCCACCTTCTGAAACGAAAACTCTGTTTTCAAATCTATCCGGATTAATGGAGACGTAGCCAAAATCCAACTTCGCATCACTACTGCAGCACAACCCTGACTTACATCTTTAATTTCAACTGATATCCAAAACAATGTGGCAATATCTCATTAGGAGCACACAACTGCTCGGCTTACACGCCGCCCTGGCTGTGCGAAGGCCATGTGGTCCATTTCAGCTATACCTGACTGTTACTGCCCCCTCCAACTAAGACCGTTCAGCCCTCACCGACCAGAGTGCCATTAAATAAATTGTGTTGTCGTAATCCTCTCTGATGTTTGCTCCCAATAATGCCTGTCGTCATGTTAACCCATTTTGATCACCCTATTTCCCGGACTGTGCAGAACGGACAACTCTGTTTGAGTGAAAACAGCAGCGTTGCACGAGAACAACACAAATCTAAATATGATTGTGACTTATTTCAATGCAGTAAAGTGAGAGATTAGGGACAGCTCACTACTGTGATTGGTGCAGTGAAAGTTTCACACAACGAGTGCCAAAACAATCTCAAAAACTCATAGGCACGGAGACAGGAGGTGGTGTTGGTGACACCGTTTGCCCTTGCATTTTGTGTTCTGGCAATGTGGATGGTATCAATGTCATTCCAACAGGAAAGAGGTGAATATGACCAAGTGAAGGCAGCAGCATGGGCCTGATTTTAATATCCTCAGCAAGCTCAAGGACACAGAAAGACGTTTTAGAAAACAAAACTATTATGAAATACATTAAAAGGAGATGTATTTAATCTGCTCAGACATGTGAGCAAACCACGAAATCACTTTAATTTTGGAGAGCTCCTTGCTAGGGGCCTGATGGCAGTGGGAACATTTGCACAGACAATAATTTGACAGTGGATTACCTGAAGTCACTGTATGGGTGAATGATCCAAAAGCCTGCAGATTTGACCCGTTCTTGCTCGCGCTCCACTGCCTTCTCGCTCCCGAACATTCGAAGCGAGAACTTGTTGACTCCCGGTTGAAGCATCGCTCCAAACTGCCTGTGCATAAAGCCCGCCTGGTACAACCTCTCATCGTCCGGCAGGATCTGATCGATACCCTCCAACTTTACGAAAGTCGACTGTTCTTCAGAGGGCGCCTGCTGTGCCCCGTCGCCGCGACCGCCCTGCGCGCCCTGGCTCTCCCCAGGTCCGGTGTGCTCCAAGGGACCTTCATCCTCAGGGCTCGCATCCCCGATGAGGCGCCTCTGCTCCGCCAGATCCGCGTCTGAAGCATGTCGGCTGGTGATGGAAGAGAGGCTGCCCCTGAACCTCCGGCAGTCCCCGTTCACGTTGGTTCTGAAGGGTCTCCCCACATCGGTCTCCGCGTCTCCGCTCTTGGCCTCGCTAACACCTTTAGAGCTCCCCGTGGAGGGAAGATGCTTCATCTTGACACTTTTCCTCCGAGTGTCCTTGTCGCTGTCTTCACCGTCTCGAGTCATAGCACCCTTGTATCCAAACTGATGTGGCAAGCTATAGAGTCGTTTGCGCATGGAAGGATGCATTGTGATCGACCACCTTAACAGAAACAATGACAGTCGGTATCATCTGAGAAGAGACGGAGGCAGGAAAATAGGTCGTAAAAAATATGAATGCACATATATGCATCCCGCTGCATCTGTAATACTAGACACTGATCCCGAGAGCGCAGAATCAAAGCGCGCACACTGGATGCGGGAAGACAGACGGACGTGTCTGAACGGGAAACAATTTGACGCGCGTCTCAATGACAAATCATATAGCACCCTCCTTTTCAAACTACTCTTGAAACAGCACTTACGAAGCCCCCGGCCATTGACACATCAGTAATCCAATGTGCAAAAGATGTCCAGTTCAGATGTGGTAACGTGCATGGGGATGGATAATCTATTACGTTGCCATAGAAGCGCAGACAGCAAATAAGCACGCACCACCGAAACAGACTGTTAAGGGTGTTGCAAAAAAAAAAAAAAAAAAAAAAAAAACATAAACACACACACACACACACACACACACACACACAAAAACATGGCATGACATTGCCTGTCTTCAGCAAATGATTTGCTTATGTGTATTTTCGCCAAACAATAACATAAAAAAATTTGAATGGCAAAAGTAACGTTTTACGTCATTCAGTGTAGGCTATCATGAAGCTTATGGAAAAGAATTTGGTATTGTTCCATGCTAACAGTAGGTGTTGTTTATCAGATGTCTTAACGAAGAAGTCCAAACAAAAAAGTATGTATTTGTTTCACATAATTATTCACGCAATTCAACAGCTTTTTCAAACGTTTCAGTATCGGACGTAAAGCGACAAAACACATTATTCACACAACACAACAAATATGATAAAATGGACTTTAGTGTTAATTAAAAAATGTCTTCAGATCACCAAAAAATTTAAATGTTTTTTTAATTGAATATTGCAGTAGTCTATTTATTGTTAAAAAAAAAATTATCCATGCACTGATGCACATATTTATCATCAATCAGAATATCTTCCTCTGCCTCTTGCAACATCTCTTCTCTGATGACGTGTTTACTGGCACGAGGGCGGGACAATCTGTCATTCACATAAGATCAACCAATAGCAAACCACAACCATCCAATCAATTTCCGATGAGGACTATCGCAACTTCCGTTTCAAGCCGACTTGGTACTTGATGGTTACTTGGGATGCCAGAATACAATATTGGGTTGCACGACAAACCTGAAACGATTGCGCCCTGAAAATTACTAACAGAAATTCCTCTGAAGGTCACTGAATAATTCGCACACTGCTTATTTATTATTCATATTCAGGTAGGCTACTTAGTTTGGTAGAGTTTTATGAAGAAGATGCGATGAGACACTATTGCGCTCATCAGGTTAGGTCAGCATATTACTGTCAAATCGATTAATCGCATTGAACATACAAGTTTTAGTTTTATAATATATGTGACACACACACATTTATTATGGCTATATAAACAAAACTTCTATGTTAGATGCGATTAATCGCGATTAATCGTGATTAATCATTTTGACAGCAGTAATATATCTATATATGAAAATGAAGCAAAACATTTGTTTGCTAGCTGACAGCTTTCAGGTTTGGTTTATTCAGGTTTGGTGTAGCTGGTGGGCAAATAAAGTAAAGCTGCCTGAATAGTTGCTGTTTATATTAATGAAGAGGACAACAGCTATGATATTCTTTGATGGGTCTTGTTTAGATGTATATGACACATCAATGTAATGAATAAACAAAGAGGAGCATAATAAAGGGCATCACAGCCACAACATGTAACAGTCAATACATATTATTCTTATTCTTATGAGTAATACAATTATCTGATCTGACACATGCAAGCCATTGATTATGTTAAATATATCCATGTTATGGCATGTTTCACGATCAAAAACAACAGCAGAAACCCCTTGTTTCAAAACAGCTGTGCTTCCGCCAATGTCCTTGCTTTTACTGTGCAGTCCAGATACAACATAACATGTCAGATGGTGAAATCAGGGCACCAAGTGATATGATGAAACTAGATACTGAGGGAATAATGGCACTATAATCTGTAAGCGCCTGGGCAAAGACAGCTTTCTGCCTTTTGAGCAGAAAAATGCATTGTGACAAACACGGCCTTTCCAGGAATCATCCATCCCTATGGCTATAGTGGAGAAACGGCTGTGAGATTATTCTGTTTGGATGTGATTTGTGTGTGTGTGTGTGTGTGTGTGTGTCATATGGTAGCCTGCATGCTGTCTGTGAATACAACTCAGTCAGATAATTTCCCCGTATAGATTTATAACGTACAGGTCACATTTATTAGCTATTTAATGAGATTTTAAAAAATGCCTCTCATATTTCAGTGTTGTATTTTATACACTGTAAAAAATATTATTGGTTTAACTTAAAAAAGTAAGTTACCTGGTTGCCTTAAAATTTTTGAGTTCATTGAAATCATTTTTTTTTTTTACGTATGTGTTAATACAATGTAGGAGATTGGTTTAATCAACAGAAACACAAAATATGATGTTATCTGAACCACATTAATTATCTAAGTTGTGATGACAAATAGTGAAAACAAATTTTTAGTGTAGTAATGTGCTAAATAAAACACATGCAAATAAAATTCATATTTACACCATGCACAGAAACGGGGTTTGAATTGAAACGCTAATAATGAGAGTAGATGATAAAACGTATGTAAATGGTATCTCCAAATACAGTTGCAGAGCTCATTGTTGTTGAGTGGAAACAAACATTGAAGCGTTTGGAGGGTCTGAAGTTTCAGCGTTGGTCAGCAATGCCCCCCTCTGGTGCACAGACATATTTGTTTTAGGACTGCAGGCACAACAGTGCCAAGCCTATGCTAGGATGATTAAAAAAATCAATTAAATAAATACAAAAACTTGATATATATAAACACCCACACAAAGATGTTAATACTGAAGCAGATGGTATCTAAACAATGCAGTATTCTCCACTTATATATTTTTAGCTTGCACTCTAAAAATTCTATATACACTGAACCATAGACTGTAAAAACACGCACTGAATTTTTTTTAACTCAGATATTGCTAGTAAATTTCATAAACGATTACAAAAAAAGGGGAAGCAACAATTTGAATTAAACTTGAAATTTTGAAATAGCAAAACTGAAATAGTATTTTCTTGTAAATCTTTGTTTTATTTACAACTTTTTTTTTAGCATAGAACCCTAGGGTTCTTCACTCAAATTTAAAGAAACCTTATGCCAAGAACGTTCTATATAAGGAAAAATGTCTTATGATTGCATAATACTTTAATGTTAAACAGGTTATTTAAAATGTTTCTAATGATAAAGTATGTTTACGAGTTTACGAGCTTCTTAATTTGTACACATTTTATTTAAAATGAAAAGTGAATTAAAACAAAATTAATTAATTAAAACTAAAATGATCCCATGATGGGAACGATTCTATATATGAAGAGCCTGACAGAACCCTTTCAGATTCTATATATATCCTTTTCTTCAAATGTCATTATTTGCTAGTTTATCATGTATTTAAATAATCAAATTGACATAAACCTGTGTTAAAATAAACAAGGCATCATGTTATAAAAGAGGACAACGCATGTGACTTTGGATATTTTAATTGTTAAAAATGACTGTAGGCTATTGCCTTGGTCAATTGATAGAATATTAATTTCTCTTCACATTCTGAATTAGTAGACCTTTTATATGCGTAAGGACTCATGCAGTGACGTATTAAATCATGTGGATTGTTTTTCATGGTCTAAACAGTGCACTCTGCTAACTTATAATATTAAAGCTTAATTATACACAACCAAAAGCTAAAAAGTGTGTTCTACTGTAAAGATATTGCATAGAATAAAAGCCATGCTGTATACTATGCATACATAAAAAGCAATCAGAGAAGATAAGGTACATGAGTATAAAATGAAGTCACTGGTTTGCGAGAATATTATTTGAAGAGATAAGTGCATCAGTATGAAGAACATTCAGATATCTATAGATATTTCAAGTGATTTCATACATCAATGTATAATACATGTACAAATTAAACATTGCAGGAGACTTTGCAAAGCCCTTAATTGATACGTTTGATTGATAGAATCGTATCCCACCATACCGTAACATGATAATCTGTACAAAAACGGTCATACCAGAATCATGGTGGCATATTTGCGATAAGATAAAGGCTTGCTTGAACAGAAGTCATTCATAAATACACAAACGGAGGGGAAAAAAAGCCTGTATCAAACAGTAGAATATCTTGCATGCAATTATTATTTTTGTACTTTTGCCTGACGTGGAAAAAAAGTTGACTCGAATGAAAGAGATTCTAAAGAAAACGCAACACAATCATGCAAGAAAATGTTCAGAATCAGGTTCCGTTCTGTTCACACGTCCTCCTCACACCAGATTTATAAGGCATGCCTCGGGTGCTCATTCATTCCAGTCTTCCATTTAACTCCTCCACCTTTCATTTGTTTACCAATGCGCTGAACCGTTCATGAGTAATGTTCATATGGTCATGATGTGAATGTCTTTATCTGTAAGCAAGAAACAGAAGTGAAAAAGTTTGGTTAATAATGTGGGGTTTTCAGAAGAGTTACTGTCACGGGTGGTTGCAGGAAGGCAGATGAAGATGAAGAATAAAGTTCCAATATGAAGTTTTAATGACGATAATACAAATAATACTCAGACAGGCAGGCAGGGCAACACACACGTAATGTAACTGTGAGGGAAGAACCTAAGTAGAGACTCAAACAAGATCATTAATGACGTGCATTTGAACAGAGTGACTTAATAACAGTAGTCATAGAAACAAAGGAGTGGTGGGAAAATCAAACAAAAGAACACATGATGTGAATGAAAACATGATAAGTAAAGCCGGGTTCACTGTCCGATTTTGGCCACGATCTGGTCGTCTGAGACACATTTTTGCAAATCCTAAAAGATTCCTCTGATCCTAGGCTAAAATCTGAAGTCTTTGATCGTTGGTTTGACATGTTCACCGACAGCCGATTAATGACCGTTGCGTTTAAATTTTACCTTTACAAATTGTAAATTGTAAGTCCTACGACGACCATCAAATTGTCTTTGTTTTTCAAGACAAGCCATGACCAAAATAAACGTTAGAGATTTCTTTGTAGCCACCTTTTCAACCCCGCGTGTAAAGACAAACTGAACATGTGACAGTTACTGATTGAGAAACGCTTATACAAAATAACATCGCTGCCTCTGTCTAGTTCCTTGACTTTCAATACATGGCTCTTTGGAATACTTGATTCTGATTGGTCAGTTGCGGCATTCGATGGACATATATATATATACTAGTGCTGTCAAATCAATTAATCGTGATTAATCGCATCTAACACAAAAGTTTTTGTTTATATAAAATGTATATATATATATATATATATATATATATGTGTGTGTGTG